GACTGCCAGCTCAGGTCCTGGAGACTGTTTCAGAGTCTGTGACTCCCTTTCTCTCTGACCCTCCCCTGCTCACGCTGTCTCTCTCTCTCTCCCCTAGAAATAAATTTTAAAAAAATGAGTTTGCAGAAAGGTCTAGTAAGTGTTTCTGGAAATCAAGATGTTTTGGCCCCTATCCTAGACCTTGTGTGTCCACAGATGCATGGACGATACTGGAAGTGTGAACTTCTACAAGTTCATCTGAAATTTTGGGGCAGTTGGGCCTCAGGTCACACCTGGAGAGATTCTACATTGAGTTACCTGGGAGCTGGTGTCCTGGCTACTCTCCTGATTGAGCCGCTCAGCCTGCAGACATTCCATTCCTGGGTTGCAGCTGTGACTTCCACCCATTTCCCCCCAGAAAACCCATGTGTGTCATTCAGTAGCAAGGACTCGGCTGGGACCCAAGGCTTATTTCTGAGCACAGTGGTGCACCTGACCACCTCCTGCCTGGCCAGGGACAGACAGCACCCGCACCCTGGGGGTGAACAGCAGGGAGAAAATTCCAAATTCAGATGTGCTCAAAAATCATTAGTTTCCGTGCCTGAAACACAGGAATACTTAAGTGAGGAAAGCTCATTATTTCCAGGAACAATCACTCATTTATAGAAGATGGGAAAGTCAAGAGGAAGATTGAATTTAGAGCAATTTCTGATGCAATGAAGGTTCACACTTGCTTGAATCCAGAATGTCTCAAATTATGTGGGTGATATAATAATGACATGATTTACTCAGTACTCTCTTTTTACAAATTATAAGATACCTTAAAGTGAAAAATATCTTATGGACAGCAGGGCTCCTGGGAACAGTGAAACGGGTCCTTCAGTTCTATGCCATCAGTGCATATTCTTTTTTTTTCTCGTGTTTTTGTTTTTTTTTTTTTTTTAACATTTATTCATTTTTGAAAGACAGAGTAAGACAGAGCATGAGCAGAGGAGGGGCAGAGAGAGAAGGGGACACAGAATCCGAAACAGGCTCCAGGCTCTGAGCAAGCATTCAGCACAGAGCCTGACACAGGGCTCGTACCCACGAACCATGAGATCATGACCAGAGCCGAAGTTGGACGCTCAACCGACTGAGCCACTCAGGTGCCCCAGTCAATGCATATTTAAGTCTACGATATTGTACCGTATAGAAAATGGCCATGAAGGGGCGCCTGGGTGGCTTAGTCGGTTAAGCGGCCGACTTTCGCTTGGGTCATGATCTCGCGGTTCGTGGGTTCAAGCCCCGCGTCGGGCTGTGTGCTGACTGCCAGCTCAGAGCCTGGAGCCTGTTTCAGAGTCTGTGACTCCCTCTCTCTCTGACCCTCCCCTGCTCACGCTGTCTCTCTCTCTCTCCTAGAAATAAATAAAAGATTAAAAAAAAAATACGTCTAAAAAAAAAAAAAAGAAAGAAAATGGCCATGAAAACAATCTCAGTTTTACTACTAACCCTCATCCTGACTACTTTTTTAAGTATGTGAAGGGGAAAACAAGATATTTTTCTATACTTCCGTATGGGGTTTTTTTGTTTTTTTTCTTAAATTTTTTTTTTCTAGGAGAGAGAGAGAGACAGCGTGAGCAGGGGAGGGTCAGAGAGAGAGGGAGTCACAGACTCTGAAACAGGCTCCAGGCTCTGAGCTGGCAGTCAGCACAGAGGCCGACGCGGAGCTCGAACCCACGAACCACGAGATCATGACCTAAGCGAAAGTCGGATGCTTAACCGACTAAGCCACCCAGGCGCCCCATTCCATATGTTTTTTAAATAACTTTTTGTCAGGGCACCTGGGTGACTCCGTCGGTTGAGCGTCGGACTTAGCTCAGGTCATGATCTCATGGTTTGCGAGTTCGAACCCTGCACTGGGCTCTGTGCTGACAGCTTGGAGCCTGGAGCCTGCTCTGGGTTCTGTCTCCTCCTCTCTCTGCCCCTCCCCTGCTCGTCTCTGTCTCTCAAAAGTAAAGAAATATTGTGGGGATGAGCACTGGGTATTATATGGAAACCAACATGACAATAAACTATTTAAAAAAATAAAATGGCAAATACTAACCAAAAAAATTAAGAAATATTTTAAAAAATTTAAAAAACCAATAATTTATTGCCTAGTTGACTAACATAACAGTGTGTACAGTGTAGTCTTGGCTTTAGGAGTGGATTCCCGTGATTCATCACTTACATACGCCACCCAGCCACCCAGTGCTCATCCCAACAGGTGCCCTCCTCAGTGCCCCTCCCCCATTTGCGTGCCTTCCCAACCCCCACCCTCACCAACCCTCAGATTGTTCCCTTTATTTAAGAGTCTCTTATGGTTTGCCTCCCTGTCTATTTGTAAGGTATTTTTCCTTCCCTTTCTCTATGGTTATCTGTTAAGCATCTCAAATTCCACATATGAGTGAAAACATGTATCATCTGTCTTCCTGTGGCTGACTTACTTCACTTAACATAATACTGTCCAGTTCCATCCACGTTGCTGCGAATGGCAGGATTTCATTCTTTCTCATTGCCAAGTAGTATTGCGTTGGATACATATACCACATCTTCTGTATCCATTCCTCAGTTGATGGACATTTGGGCTCTTTTCATACTTTGGCTGTTGTCGATAGTGCTGCTCTAAACATGGGGGTACATGTGCCCCTTCTAATCAGGACTCCTGTATCCTTTGGGTAAATTCCTAGCAGTGCTATTGCTAGTGTTGTAGGGTTTCTATTTTTAAGTTTTTGAGGAACCTCCACACTGTTTTCCAGAGCAGCTGCACCCGTCTGCATTCTCACCAGCCGTGCAAGAGGGCTCCTGTTTATCTGCATCTTTGCCAACATCTGTTGTTTCCCGAGTTGTTAATTTTAGCCACTCTGACCGGTGTGAGGTGGTATCTCACTGTGGCTTTGATTTGTATTTCCTTGATGATGAGTGATGTTGAGCCTCTTTTCATGTGTCGGCCATCTGGATGTCTTCTTTGGAAGACATTTCTTTGATATTTTTAATCAAAACTAACATATTTTTTGAATAAGAATTAAAAAGGAAAGATTGAAGGTGAACTCAGTGTTGATGGTTTATCTACAATTGTGCTAAATAAGTGTGTGCCCTGAGTCATGTTGGACGGCTGGCTCTGTTCCTCTCATAGAGGGACTGCTGTCACACTCACTGTGACCAGAGTGCGGGTCAGTGCTTGTGGACAGTACACACTCGTGTGGTGCACGCCGCCCCAGACGCAGGACTTTCCCTTCACTGGGACCTTCCACATGCCCTTCACTGTCAGTCCACATCCATACCCACGAGCAAAGAGTGTCTCGATATCTGTCTTTTCTAGAACTCCGTGGCCGTGGGACCTTTATCTGCGCCGTTACGTGTCCCAGTAGCTGCTCCTTTATGTGGAGAGCTTTTCTGTTGTGTTCCAGCTTGTCGATCATAAATAAGACTGCTTCTGGAAAGTTCTGCATTGTGGTACTTTTATTGTGGTTTTAATTTGTATCTTTTAAGATAACGAGTGATATTAAAACACTACATCATATTGTATGCTTATTTTTAATTGTTCATCATTATTATTAGCAAGTTGTAGAACTTTTAAAAAATGTGTTCCAGATACTATCATAGATCACGTATGTCTGAAAAAATCTTGCTGACTCAAAGCCGGCAGTGATTTTCTGTATGTTTTCTTCTTGGAAGTTTATAGTTTTTATTTATACTTAGACCTCGGGCCTGTTGTATTAGCTCCCGCTGTGGCCTAGCGGTACGCTGACCCTTGAGCACCTGGACGCATCTCCCAGGACAACAGTGCAGCCCGTGCATGCACTTGCCCTTCGCCAGCCGGCTTCATCGTGAGAATACTTCGTATACAGCACACGTGGTGTTCAAAGTGTGTGTTCACTGATTATCAGGAAGGCTTCTGGTCACTGGCGGACTGATAGTTTTTATGTTTTTGAGGAGCCAAAATTACACGTGGATTTTCAACATGAAAATTGTGGTTGCACAGTTGAACGCGATCATAGATTTTGGGGAGGCCTAGCTGGAATTCAAGAGCCCTCCTTTTTATAGCATTTTTTCTTCATTTTTAAGCAATCCAATTCAGACTAGACCAGTTTTGTCACTTCCATACTGTTGTAATGGGGTAGTCAGGTATCTAGAAACATACGCAGGCTTGCAGGGACAGAGGCTAGGATCATGTTTGTAAACATAACTGGCCCCGTTTGGAAATCCTGGGTGGCTGTGTGTGCCGGCCGTCGGCCCACGTGGGGTCAGGAAGGACAGAGGGCCCGTGTGTGCTGACGTTTCTCTCACTCGCAGCAAAGGTGGCTGATAGAAGGCTTGTGACTGTGCTTCCACAGCTTCCTCAGAAGAGAATCTCAAAGGGAGAAAGTGGTTGAGTCCGGAAGCAGTGCGATTGGGACCGTGAGCTCAGCAGCACCTCTCGCTCCTCAGGGACGGTTTCCACCACCAGCACAGTGTAGGCCGGTTTCCTGCTTCCCAGAGACGCGGTCTGGCGGGCGCACCGCGGCGCCCGTGCGTGAGCCCTACTCTCGGGTGCGCTTGTCTGTCCTCGTCCCCACAAGTGGAAGGGGGTGGGGCGGCGCGGGGCTTGCTGGACACAGTCTGGGCACAAACTCACATAGTTGCCATCAGCAGTGTAGACGCGCTCGTGCAGGAGGCCATAGAACCCTCCGAACCTCACCTTTGACCTCCCTTGTCCCTTCCTTCCTGGTGCGTTCTGCCTCGTGGCGGGTGTGGGTGGTCTTGGACCAGGCAGATAGCCCACCCTTGGGTTATTCCGTCACATCGTAAAGCCAGAGCGCAGTCGTTGAAGCTGCACTAAATACATCTGGGCAACGCTGACTGCACCTCATTTCCCGGGATAAGTGGGCTACTGGAAAATATCTCATTTCTTTTAACTTTGCCTTTGGTTTCCCATGATTTATGTCAGACTATAAAAGAAAGAAAGATAAAGGAATTTCTAAAGATGAGTCTATTTTTTTCTCCCTGTTGCTAACTTTAAGAAACAGAAGTACTTCAAGGTGTTCCTGCCTGGCTCCGATGCTTTCAGATGTCAGACCCAAGGTAATCTAATAATGAGTCTTTGAGTTTCATAAATTTTTTAGTGTTTATTTCTATTAGAGAGAAAGAGGGGAGGGGCAGAGAGAGGGAGACACAGAATCTGAAGCAGCTCCAGGCTCCGAGTTGTCTGCGCAGAGCCCGACATGGGGCTCAAAGGAGCTGTGAGACCATGACCTGAGCTGAAGTCGGACACTTAACCAACTGAGCCCCCCAAGCGCCCCAATAAGTCTTTGAGTTTTAATGTAAATGATAGAGGGAATAGGCAGCATTACCTTATGACTGGCCTGCCAGGAGACCTGTATTTACTCTTCACTCTGAGTAGTTTTTCCTGCCGTTCCCCTGCCTGTTAGCACCGCTGGTAGGAGCAGACCACACTGCTGGGTGACACCAGTGCGTCCTGATTCATTGATTTGTATCATCGTGATTTGATCATGATTCTATCTGTAGCCTGAAGAAAATGGGACTTACAAGTTCAAAGCAGAGCAAGTATTACAGAAGCCCCCAGAGTTCCTCTGTCAGTGCTGTTTCCCACCAGTCTGCCGTGGTTTTTCTGTACAACTTAGAATCTTACCTCTGGATAATTAGTTTATTTTCTAGATAAGTCATCTTATAAAATTAGACTTTAAACATTCACAGAAGAATTCAAAAGACGTTTATGAAAATCTTTCATACTAAAATGGTCCTGTAGATGAGTAGAAAATATGCATATAGGTGACCCATGAGCCACACAGGTTTGAACTGTGCAGGTCCACTTGTATGTGGGTTTTTTCAGTAAGTACAGTACATATGGCAAAGGCGTGTTCTCGTATGATTTTCTTGGTAACGTTTTCTTTTCTCTAGAGTATTTTATTGTAAGAGTACAGTATGTAATATGTACACAGAATATGTGTTTATGGACCGTTCATGTTATTGGTCAGGCTTCTGGTCAACAGTAGACCATTGTACTTAGGGTTTTGGGTGTCCGCAGTTGTATGTGTGTATTCGACTATGCAGAAATCAGTACTCCTCACCCCTGATATTACAGGATCAACAGGTGATTTCAAGTTTTACCTGGATGAGAAATGTGTGTACTCAGATGTTAGAATAAGTGAAGTTACCAAGTAGAGAATCGACCAAGGAAAAAGAAAGACTCCAGTTGCTGAAATGGAAGTGGGGACGTGCCGCTGACCTCACTAATGAGCTGCTGGGCAGGAGCAGATGAGGTAGCGTGAGTCAAATGGAGGAATTCATAGAAAGATGCAAATTATTGACAGTGACTTAAGAATAAATAGAAAACTGAGGAGATTTATAAGAACTAAAGAGCTTAAATTAGAAGAATAATTAGAAAAAAACTTTCCACAAAGGAAATACAAGGACAAGATGGATTCATGAGTGATTCCTACCAAAAATTTAAGGAAGAATTAATGCCATTTCTTCACAAACTTTTCCAAGAAATTAGAGAGAACACCAAAACTTCCTCAGTGAGGCCAGTATCACCCTGATTGAAGATTAGAAAAAAATAGAAGAAAACTAACATCAATATTTCTCACGAATATAGATGCAAAAATCCACAATAACTAGCAAATCCAATTCCGCCACATGTAAAAGAGCGCTTTATCCCGGAACATAAGGTCGGTTTAACAGATGGGAGTAGATTAACGCAATACATCACATCAATAAGTAAAACATACGACCGTCTCACAGACACAGAAAAATCGTTTGACAAAATCCTCACCCATTTATGAATGATTCAAGCAGCATCAACACAGAAGAGCTCCCTCAACCTGATAAAGTCCATCTACGAAGACCCAGTGCTAACAGCATTCTTAGTACTGAGAGACGGTGCAATTGCCCCGGGAGGTGAGGAAAAAGACCAGGATGTCCACTGTCAGCACCGTCACCTGTGGGTGAGCTGGCAGCTGTGGGTGGGGCAGCTGGGCAGGAGGCGCACATGTGGGCGCCGACGTCCTGGGGGCTGCTCCCTGTGGGGGTCCGCGTGTGCTCACCGAGGGCGTCATCATGCCCCCCACACGCCCGGGCGTAAGAACAGGTGCCAGTCGCTGCAGTGGGTGGGAGCCTGGACCTTTTGTGTGCGCGGCTCTCTGAGAACAGGGGACTGTTCCCTGTGCCTGTGGCCCCACTGCGTGCGGTGCCCAGACGTGGAGACTCGCCGATGCCTTTTGGCTCCGAGTTTCCTGTGTCTTAGAAACTGGGGCGCGTGACCTCTTAAAGGGTGTCTGAGACCTCAGGGCCAGCCTTAGCTCCAGTGGGGGGCTTCTGTCTCAGGGCCCTTGCTCGGGAGAGGGCGGGAGTCTCTGCTGGTCCCTGTTTGGTCACACCTGTCCCTCCCACACAGGCACGTTTCCAGTGGTTCGCTCGTGGGCGTGGGAGACCAGATGCCTCTCACGTCTGTCCCTGGCTCCTCCGGCCTCCCCTCTCCTCCGGCCGCTTGCTGGCCCGGCCGTGCTGTGCCCTCCCACAAGCCACGTCCTCTCGCACAGCTGGCCTCTTTCTTCCTTCTGAAGACATGCTGTCCACTGTTCCCCTGGCTCGTCCGTCTTTCCGTACCCTGCCTGCTCTGGCCTGCGTCCCTCAGGCCCCGCTCCCTCCTGGGCGCCGAGCCTCCCCAGCCCCTTTATAAGCCTTACCTACTTCCTGCTCCCACTCCCCGCAGTCCTGCCCTGCAGACCCTCCACCCGCCCCGTCTAGCCTGTTGCCTGCTGTGCCCTGCGGGGGCTCAGAGATGCGTGTTGCACCGACGTCCGTAGCTCGATGGCTTCATCGTGACGCAGATCCAGCGATAACGCCCGTTCGGTGTCCCCTGCGCGCGACTGTCCTGGGGCCCCGGTGAGGCATCCCCGGGAGCCGGAGCCTAACATTGTTATTTCAGGTGTTTTACCCGCCTCCCCTGACAAATACTCTGTCATAGCAAAACTGAAAAATGCGTGTGAAGCTGTGAGTCTTGCATGACTAAAGTTAACAGAATTTCAAAGGTCATTGAATACAACTATCACTGTGCACCATCGGGTGTGGTGCCCGCGGGCTGGCCGTAGTCAGGGCAGAGCAGCCGGGCCCCGCGGCAGAGTGAGAGCGCGAGTTCGCTTTCACACCGAAGTCTCCTGCGGGCGCCTGCACGGGCGGAACCCGAAAACCGAGGGCAGAGCCACAGCCCGCGTGCAGGTGCCCGGCCGATGGCCCCCAGCTTCTGCCCAGAGACACACGGCCCATGAGACGGGTGACTGTCCGACTGCGTGGAGGGCTGTCCAGAGGTGCTCGGCGGCAAGGCAGCCTGGGAGCCAGACAGGAGTAGCCGCCGTGGGGATGGGTCACAAATGTGCCGCCACGGGAGCAGGGTGACGGCAGAGTAACGCTACGGAAGAAGCTGTAGAGCTCACTGTGTGTGTCCTGCAGCCTGACAGCGACAGGAAGGCCTGGGGCTGCTGTGTCCATGCAGGGAAAGAGGCCGCATGAAGACAGCGGCCATAGAACCAGGGCTGCGAGAGTGGCGGGCGCTGTGGACACACGTCAGGGCCAAGGTGACACCTGATGTTATTGGTGCTGGGAGGGGGCTGGCAAGGGCGGGCCCCGCTGGGAGAACAGGCTGAAGGCCGACGCTGTTCCTGATTCCAGAAAACTCAGACATTGCTGTTATTTTGGAAACCATGGTGCGTGTGTTAGGTTTGCACATTTTGCAGAAAAGCAACTCCCTACTGGTGGAATTTAGACGTGCGGCCCAGGACAATGTTAGAATTCAACTTCGTGGCAATTGTTACTCTTCTTATTTAAGTCACCTCGTAGAGCGAGCCAGTGAATTGTCTGCGAGGCATGGCCCCAGGAGCTCCGACCTGCCGCCGCAACTGGCCTGTGACCCGGCCACAAACACCCTCAGTCTCGCACACACTGCCCATGAGTGTGCACACAAGGTCATAGAACCCTCAGCCTTGCCCACACACTCCTTATGAATGTGCACAGAAACCACAGAACCCTCAGCCTTGCACACATGCCCCATGAGTGCACACATGAAGTCACAGAACCCTCAGCCACACACACACACTCCCTGTGAATGTGCACAGAAACTACAGAACCCTCAGCCTTGCACACCTTGTGAGTGTGCACATGAAGCCAAAGAACTCTCAGCCTTGTACACACACACCCATGAATGTTCACAGGAACCACAGAACCCTCGGCTTTGCACACCCCCCGTGAGTGCGCACACGAAACCACAGAACCAGAGCCAAGCGTGTGCTGTGGTTTTGCACGGTGGAAGCTGTGTAGCCCCCTCCTGTGGGCATACGCATGGGGCAGTGGAGGGGCCTGGGGGTACAATCAGGGGTAGATGTGTCTGTGAATTTGCACGTGGAGGAGAAGAAAGGCACCGACGGAATGGGAAGACAGAGGCAGCCTCTGACCTCAGCCCCGTGGGTCTGTGCCGCAGGCAGTGCCACAGGCCGTGGGGTGTCTGGGGCTGGAGCCACGGGGCTGGAGCCACGGCGCAGGGATCTGTCAGTGTGACAGAGGCCCAGCTGCTCATAGCTTGTGCGATTTGGCCACGGGGGACGGCGCCTGTCATGCTTGGCGGGTGTCGATCTCGAATCTGGCTGGTGGAAGGCATTTGTTCCCGGTGGTCTGGCAAAGCTCTGGGGTCTGCAGACGCGCACTGCTGTGTTCTCCAGCCCTGCGCGGTGCGGTCACAGGCCAGGAATGTGACAGCTGGGCTGTGATTTGAGTTCTGCTCAGTTTCTTTGAAAATGAGCTAGAAGCCCAACTTGAAAAACTTATCTTTAAATAAGCTGCAGCATTTCAGTGTCCTCAGCACATAGGATTCCTGTGATACGTGGCTCTGTTCTGACGGGTGACCGCGTGGTGCTCCTGGGGTTCCTGAGTTACGACAGCGTGGCAGCTGTGGGCTTCCGCACACACGGACGTAGCGTTCGGGAGAACAGCTGTGTCGAAGCAGGGAGCAGACCTCGCGGGGGGTGGCCGTCTGGCGGCACCCCAGCTGGGCCCGCTGCTCTCTGGGGTTC